AGGAAGTTAGTGTTCCTGTCATTGAAGATACCGAATTTAAATGAGGGCGTGTACAGGCTGGTAAGAGTTAGGTTAATTGAACTCTTTGCTACATCCCTCCTAATTCTGCCATATCATTATATACACAGCTAGTTTTTTTACTTGAGTCCGTAAATGCAATGCTTACGCCTTCTGACTCTGTGATTGTTTTGGGTGATTTTAATCTGCCACACATTTCATGGAACATTATTGGCACCGATGTTGTACCAGTTTCATCTAGAGATAGTTACAATGTATTTGTGGAGGAAATGGCTGAACTTTACCTAAAACAAATAAATATAAATAAGGTCTTGGATCTCGTTTACGTTGATGATGTTCCGAGGTCCTCTATTAATCGGTGTGATCCCTTAGTTTTGCCAGAGGATGCATACCATCTCGCTCTTGAGTTAAGCTACGAAATCATAAATGCAGTACATAATAATAAGTTCTATAGTTCAAGTACTAGATATGTGTTTGCGAAAACTAATTTCAGAAAAATTAACAAAGAACTTTCAAAGATATCTTGGCCAATATATAGAGATGACGACGAGCGTAGCGTTGAACACTTTAATTATACTGTTTTCAATTTGTTTTGAAAGTATCAAAACGTAATATTGTTCATAAAGAACCAACACAATTATGGTTCACTTAAACTGTATAAAAGAACGGGCTTACTCGGTGATTACATAAAGTACTCGGTTTTGAGGTATAGCTACTTTGCATTAAATAAGAAATGTTATAAGTTATATTTATGTAAAATTAAAAAGAATTTGATTAAAAATCCTAAATCATTTTATGGTTTCGTAAATTTAAAGCGTAAGGCACATGGATTTCCGTCCGCTATGCACTATCGCAATACTATGTCTAGCGACAGCCAACTCATTGCCAACATGTTTGCTCAGTTCTTTAGGTCCAATTATTCGGTAGACTCCCCTACGAGTGGATACTATCCGTATGAACTTTGTACGATTAACTCAGCTTTTATTCCAGTAACTTCTTCTGATGAAGTTTTACACTATTAAAAACCTTAAAAGCGTCATTTAGGCCTGGACCTGGTCATATTCCGACCTGTTTCCTTAAAAACTGCGGTGAGAATATCTGTAAACCTTCAACAACTCTATTCAACTTGTCACTAAAACATGGTGTTTTTCCGTCAGCTTGGAAGGAGTCTCTCATAATACCACCTCACAAAAACGGCAGCAGGTCTATAGAAGACCTATCGAGGCATAGTGAAGCTCTCCGCTATCCCCAAATTATTCGAAGCAATTATTGTTAATCAGCTGACATATTCTACATCCTCAATTCACAATATCAGCACGGGTTTTTTAAAGGAAAATCGATTATCACTAATTTATTGAAGTTTACAATTTATCTCTTAAACGGTTTTAGAGAAAATGCTCATACCGACGTAATATACACCGATTTCAGTAAAGCTTTCGACAAAGTCTGTCACTCGTTACTCATCCGTAAACTCGACCTAATCGGCTTTCAGCCCAGTCTTCTTCAATGGATCTCTTCTTACCTCTCCGAACACAAAGAGTTTTTTTTTTTAATTGTTCTTCCAACATCATTAAGGTTTCTTCAGGAGTTCCTCAGGGAAGCCACCTTGGTCCGATTCTATTCCTGATATTCATTAATGATTATTCTTCTATAATAAAATATTCTAAAACCTTAATGTATGCCGATGATGTGAAACGCATCAGCAGCCTCTGCGCTGTACCGAAGACATTTGAATCCGGTATTTTTTGACTTTCAATGCGTCGGTCCATATTTCTGCCCCGTACAGGAGCACCGACTGGACTGCTTTCATCAGAAGCTTCCTGCGGCATGCCTTCGGGCCGCCCACGTTCGCCATCACATGCTCCATGGATGTGTTCCCAGAATGTGATTTTGCTGTCAAGCTTCACCCCTAGGTATTTTGTAGACCTAGAAGTTGTCGCGAATTGAGGTCCGACCATCATGTTTATAATTTTTGGGATCCGTTTCCTTGTGAGGAGCACGATCTCTGTTTTGGCTGTNCCGCCGTGCTCTGCGCAGCTTTTTCACATACTCCATGGATGTGTTCCCAGAATGTGAGTTTGCTGTCAAGCTTCACCCCTAGGTATTTTGTAGACCTAGAAGTTGTCGCGAATTGAGGTCCGACCATCATGTTTATAATTTTTGGGATCCGTTTCCTTGTGAGGAGCACGATCTCTGTTTTGGCTGTAGCCAATTGCAGACCGTGATCGCTCATCCATCCACTGAGGTTGCGCATGACCTGGTTTAGCTTGAGCTGCGCTAGCTGGACGTTTTTTGTTGTTATGACGGCTGCCACGTCGTCCGCGAAGGCGACAAGGAAGGCGCTCTCCGGCATTTCCGTGCGCAACAGACTGTCATACGTGGCGTTCCAGAGGTCCGGGCCAAGTACAGACCCCAGTGCCGCTCCGCCGGTTATATGTCTCTTTCTCTGATCTTGTGTTGTGTCGTACAAAAGCCAACGGTCTCTGAGGTAGTCCCGGATCATATCTAGCAAGTATGTTGGAACCTTGAATGACCGTTCCAAGGTCTCCAGCATGTCGTCCCATCTTGCCGAGGCTGGAAATATATTTAAATTTAAAAAAATCTGTAATTTCATTGTACAAGTGTTGGCTAAAATTTATTTGGCTTTGGTGATCTCAGGCTATTTTCGATACCTTCCTGTCATACTATTTCGATTAATATTTCCAGTTCCATTTCTAATGCAAATGGCGCGTAAGCAAATGCAAAATGGGCAAGTAAAACTATTGGTTTCTACCACGTGCGAGAGCGCACAAACTATACCGGGCAGTAATTCGAGCTCCAATAAACTCAGACGGTGTATTCTCTCTCAAGCGGCCACGTTAGAAAAGGAACGCCAAAACTTAAGCGTTGATTAAATTACAAATTTCGAAACGCAGTGGAAAAGCATACATTCGTATCCACGTTAAAATAAATGCTCCACCATAAGCTCTTGGATCTCGTCTAAAGAATTCAAAAATTAATTAGAAGAAAATCCTTTTTCTGAACGCGTGGATTTTGTTTTTACCTAACCAATTTTAATTTAAGGAGAGAAGGAAAGACAACTTTAGAGAAAAATTTGGGAAAAAATGATCCGTTACCGGAATTTTTATGTTCAATTCATGTACCGGTAATTGCAAATTTTAATACTTTGTAAAGTATTTTTAGTTCATTGTCTAGTTTATATAAGTATAGGCATTAGAGCGCCCAAAAAATGTATGGGATTTGCAAAGGTGTTAAATTTTTTCCCCGTTTTCGGATAGCTCGGGGACAAAAAATAAGGTTTAAAAAAAAATCTGTAGTAGGAAAAAGCCATGCGGTTTTGAACTAAAGTCAAAAAATTTAACAAAAAATTATACATGACTTTAAAGACCAATATTTCTTAAATAATCAGCGTAAGCGGAAATAACAATATATACACTTTTATATAAAAGAAAACTGGCAATATTCCTCCTATATGAAGTTTAGACCAACAAGTGTCCATTCTTGAGATGGTAAGTGGTCAAATTAAAATATATAAATTTTCTAACGGCCAAAATAAATATTTCAAAAACAGTATAATCTTCACATCCTTTGATAGGCTATTTGGTATTGTTTCATACAACATTAGATCCTTTTATTAATAACAATATTTTTAAACTAATATCTGCTGCATATGATGCCGCAACGATTCAGAAGTGAATTTCTAAAGCGCGGCCCAAGACCGCCATCGCGTAAACACATTAGGCGCAACAATACTGTGGCTGAGTAGCTAGAGTTGGACTGCTAAGGGGGGTTTTTTTTTGAAGCGAAGGGCGAATCGAAGCCGAAGGCCTCCAGCTTGGATAGAAGTTGGACGTAACAATACTATGGACTGCGTACCCGGAGTTGAACTGATGAGGGTTATCTTTTGAAGAGCGGGCGAAGGCTACCAACGCAGAAACAAGCTGATCACAACAATACTGTGCACTGAGGATAATTTGTTTTTAAGCGCGGACAAAGGCTGCCAAACCTGGAACAACGCAGAAACAAGTCGGACGCAACAATACTATACACCGCATAGCCGGAGTTGGACTGATGAGTGTTATGTTTTTTTAGGCGAGGCCAATGGCTGCCAATGCGGAAACAAGTTGCACGCAACAATAATGTTGACTGCATAGCCAGAGTTGGACTGATGAAGGTGACTTATTTGAAGCGCGCTGATCTTTAAATATTCATACTAGGATCTACTAGTTCGGCCTAGGCTTAACTGGTTTCTGCTATCGGGTTTAGGTCAGGCTTGTTTGACCCATGTTATAGCGGTTTATCCTATCGCATATAAGAATCTTATAAATACTTCATCCATATGTTGTAATTCACCGCCACATCTATATATAATATGCAGTTTAGAGAAGGGACAATTGAAATGATTCTAGGTATATATTAAGCCTGAAAACGGTAAACCTTTATATCAATTCTGCTAGTTACGTCATGGCAAGTACCGAATAATTTTGAAAAGGGTACAACTTGCAAATAATTAGCTTTTTTCTTCAATACTTTAAATTTTCAGACATGTGCCCTTTTCGAATACTAACTTAATAATGAACCAAATCAAAAAATATATTAGATTTTTAGAAATACATATATGTTTCAAATATAAACCAAATCGGACCATAAATACACATTTTAGTAATAGATCGATTCTTGCTTCACTTACTATTTTTATACTTTGTTTACAGATCATTTAATTGTTTATTTTATTGTTTTATTACTATATATGTATACTCAATTTATATTACTATTTTGTGTTGTTTTATTTCATATTCTGCTATTTTATAAAATTGTATCTCGTTGTTTTATTTCAACTATTTATTAAAAAAAGGTGTTTGCTTGCCATGGGACCTTGAACCCACGAATATAAGAAACAAATATCTCTTGAGCCTCATTTAAATCGAATCGATTTTGTCGTTAATCCTGATTAACAATTGTTTATTACTGTATCTTTATAGGGCGTCCAATTTTAAAAGGCCCATTGCCGCCACCACCATCTAGCCAGCAGCATCAGTCACAACAGCAAATGCAGCAGCAGATATCTCAACTGATGTTCAATAAATTAGATTTTCAACAAATGCAACAGCGATTAAAAAACAATCAATCGCATGTTTTAAGCCAGACTACACCTCCGTTTCCGCAGCACACAATAGCGCCCCAACAAGCATCAAGCCATACCAATATAATAACACATGTACAACAACAGCAGCAGCATTTATATCAACATCAACAACGTGCTCTAGCATTGCAAAGGCATCAGCAACAACAAGTTCACCTGCAGCAGCAGTTGCAAAAACAGCAGCAACAACAACATCAGCAGCAACAGTCAATTGACAACAGTACGTTTTAACTACATTACTTTTTATTCCAACTGACTTACAAATTTAAATTTTTCATAGTGTGTTTGTCATCATCTTTGGTAGGTGAAAGTAGTATTGTATCAAATAATGCTGCAGATACTGCGGCTGCCGCTGCTGTAAATATAATAAATTATCGAGATGGCTGCTTGTCTCCTACTAGTAATCAATTGGCACAGTGGTTTTCGCCTGAATTACTGGCACAAGCATCTGCAGGAAAACTGCCACTGCTCAATATGAATCAAACATTAAGTTTAGAAGAATTTGAAAAAAATATGCAACATTCCTCAACAACGGTGCACAATTAAAACCACTGAAAACTCGGCGTAACTAAATTTAAATTGCGTCTACCTTGGGAATCATTATTCTATATAAAGTTGATTTGTTTGCTTGGCATATTAAATAAGCTAAAAGTATCTCTATACAGCCCTAGCATTAAACATGAAATTCAGCAAACAAGTTCATTATGAATTTTAGTTTTTATTACGAAATTAGTAGAAAATAAAAGTTTTAGTATAGCGTATTCACTTGTTATCTTAATATGCTTATAAATTAGTATCTCAATTGTTGTAAATGCATTATTTAAATTGAAACAATTATACTTTATAAAATGTAAAATATATATATAATGATCTAGAAAATAGAAAACAATAAAAACGGAGAAATATAATATAATATTCTTAATGATATAAGTAATTTATTTTTATTTACTATACAGGTATTAGTGTTGCTTATCAAGTTATTTTATTGATGATAGGTACTTATTTTATAATTATCGAAAAATCTACAAATTTTAGCTCCATTTTTTCCGTTTATGTTAGACCACTCGCAACGGAGCACTAATACTTTAATTTCTTCGCAAACGAGCGGCAAAGCAATGCTCAACTCTGATAAAATTTCCATTTAGCTACTTAAGAAATTCTGTTGGTATCTAGCAAGAAACATGTGATTAGTTTAATGGTATTTATATACAAAATAATTTTGAAAGGTATTTGCGGAATATGTACTTATTTAAATATTTATCAAGTACGTATATAAAAAAATACAAATTTCCCTAAGCAATTTCTCATCAACACTTCATAATAAAGCAGTTTTTTCACTTAACACTAGCACCGGGTCACGTACATTCCCAAGACAGTCGGTTCTACGAACCGGAATGACTCGGGTTTTACCCGACCCAGCGCTGTTGTTTCGGCGATCTAACCCCGTTTAGGTCGGTGAAATATCTCAGACGTTGTTCGTCTATAGGGCTACATCGGCTACGTATTCTTCTGTTCAGGGCTGGCATTGAGTCAAACCCTGGGCCAGAAACTTACACCTGCTCTGTAAAGAGACGACTACACCACAACTCCTCCTCAGTCAAGTGTAATGCTTGCAATGGGTGGAGTCACCTCAGAGTCTGCGCTCCTCAGATGTGAAACCCGTATGGAATTTGGTGGCTTTAATGCGCACCACGATCTGTGGCAATTTACACTGCATCCACCGGCGGACAAACTCAAACGTCGAGTGACCAGAAGGCTGCACAAACTGCCAACAACTAGTGCGCCTCTTGTTTTCACTTGCGGTGTAGATCAGGAAGCCATCGGGAAGGCGAAAGCCTCCAAACCCACGAATAGACTATTTAGCCAAGTTTCTCAACCTGTCAAAGGCCATTCTCGTCATACCAGACATCTGGAAGATTGGGAGAGGGTCCCACTGTTCAAACCGGGGAAACTAGCCAACAAAGGAGAGTCTTCTCGCCCGATAACACTCTTTTCCCTGTAGCACAGACACTAGAGGCCTTTCTACTCCCGTATTTTGCGAACCACCTAACCCCAGCGAAGCATTAGCATGGTTTCCGTAAAGTGTACAGCACAACAACAGCACTTAACGCCATAAACACCCAAATAACTCGTGGCGTAAACCGTAACCGTCTCTGTGAGAGAACAATCCTAGGAGCATTGGACTTGTCAAAGGCGTTCGACACCGTCTGCCATTCCACGCCGCTAGAAGACATTAAAGCCTCCTCTCTCCCACAGGGACTCAAACGGTGGTCGGCGGATTATATGAGTGGTCGACAGTCGTCAGTAATCTTCCGAGATCAAACCTCGAAACCTAGAAGAATAAAATAAGGGGTTCCACAAGGTGGTGTCCTCTCCCTCTTACTATTCAACTTCTACATCTCGAAGCTCCCCAGCAACTTAAGGGAGTTTCCCTAATCTCATGCGCTGACGACTGCTCGATATTGGCGTCTGGGAATGGAATTGATGACCACTGTTCAAAAGTAAACAGCTATCTCTCCTGCCTTTCTCGCTTCTTCACTTCTAGGAGCTTATACCCCTATTATGCAACTCTTCCGTATTCGGATTTGGCTACGAATCGTAGAAATAGTATGCTGCAATCCGAATCGTATTTTCGAACTTTCGAAATTCGTAACAATGGCGTGCCTAAAAACGAGCGAGTAAGAAATTGACAGCGAGACAAAAGATGTAAATCGATGTGTGTTTGCAGGAAATATTAGTGGTGTTCCGCTACTCCCGTACTTCATCTACTACCTGACCCCAGGGAAGCATCAGCATGGCTTCCGTAAAGTGCACAGCACAACAACAGCACTTAACGCAATAAACCCTCAGATAACACGTGGCCTAAACCGCAACCGCCCCTGTGAGAGAACTATTTGAGTAGCGTTTTATCTGTCAAAGGCGTTTGTACAGAGCCGCAACAAGGTCCTCAAGTCGGTAGTCGGCAGTACTTGGGGATAAATACAAAGAAACGTTGGTGGCAACATAAAAGGCAATTGGCCGGCCGGTTCTAAATTACGCAGCGCCAGTGTGGTCTCCGGGGACCAGTAGGACGCAGTGGATGAAGCTGCAGACAACGCAGAACACAGTACTTCGGACAGCGACTGGATGTGTTGTGATATCGCCAGAACATCACCTACATTGCGAAGCGCAAATGCTCCCCATAAGGGAGCACAACACAATTCTTAGTAGGGAGCCAAGGACGTGGACAGCCACTTCCTTGCAGAGGAGCCTTCGGAGATGGCAGAAGGCATCTATACGAACTGATGGACGAAGTCCAGAGGATCATAAAGCAACCTCTGGACCCGTCAGCATATCGACAGGCCGTCATCGGGAGCTAGTTTCAAGTTACGTAGAGTCCAGTCCTGTGAATGCCGTTTTGGGCACACAACCACCTGACGTGGACGAGACGGAGCTTCATCTGCCTCGGGAGACTCGGACCACAATAGCCCCACTTGGCTCTGGCTACTGCAGCAGGTTGAACTCATACCTGAGTAGACTAGATGCAGATGTGCCAAATGAGTGTCTGGCATGCGGAGAGACATCCCACGACTCTCTTCGCATGCCTACAAAACCCCACATAGCTAACGGCTCTGTCCCTGTGGACAGGCCCCATAGAGGCTGGGCGGGGTTGTTGTAGCCGCTATGTTGAAGAAATGAATTACTTATATAGCCCTGTGTTTGTCATGCTCTTCATACAGTACAAATGCAACCCTGTTTTTATATACTTTGTGTACCATACTTCCGTTCTTGAATAAACTTACTTCAGATCCAACAGGTTATGGGCCGCATGCCACGCATATAAAGTTTTTGTTAAAAATGCAAGGAATGAAACCGATTCAAAATAACGTTCCGGTTTGGGTCTCGGTTTTGCCAAGTGTTTCGGTTTCGGTATTGGTTTCGTATTATTTTCGTTGGTATTATTTAAATCACAATGTCTTAAACGTTGAGGAAAGAAAATCGAAAATTACAATTCACTGATAATATCAACACTAGGTTCTTTCCCTAACAATCCGGACCTGATTTGGTAATTAGAGAATAAGAGAAACATTTTCTTTCAAAAATGGAACAAAGTTCAGAAGTACGGAAACGCAAAAACCCACATTTCGTGCCCACAAGTGGAGAAACAGCTGATTCACGTTGTTCTTGTTTTTGTCACTTATACCATGTTCTGACCGACATCGGAAACATGTTTTC